TAAATAAATAAAAACCTGTGCTCTTGCCACAGACTACCGCGCTGTAGACACAGCCAGAGTCCTGGGGACGGGACACACGGGACACACTCCTGCAGTCTCATGGGAGAAGTTCATCCACTGTCATTTCTTGGCTGTGTTCAAATTCATCTGCAGGGTAAATTACCAGTAAAGGGTTCAACGTAACTTTAGCAAACCACCATTTGTTGTCATTTATAACCAACTCTAGAAAAAAGTGAGATCCTTCACAACTAAATTCAACAAATTATTTATCTAAGAGAAAGAGAAAGGGAGAGAAGGAATGTAGGAGGGAGGGAAGGAGGAAACTAAAGCTGTGGCTCAGGGAAGCAGATAGGCTGACCATGAAGACTAGTACAGCTCAGTGTAATCGGGTGTTCTGTTTGGAGCCGAGCTTCCCACAAGACTTGGTAAAAAGCAAAATGGAAGTTGCGAAGCTCCTGAGGCATATTGGCAGCGGTGTTTGTGAACCAGTACTTCAAAAGATGTTGAGGACCTTTCATAAGGGACCTTAAACGGCATACTGAGTATGTCTTTAATAGTAATTCAGTGATAAGTGAATACAGTTTATGAGATAGAACTTCAGTAAATATCAAAAGTGTAATAATTTTGAGTGTGAAGAAAATTCTGAGTGTTAAGTAAATGTGCCCAAAGTATGACGTCTAGGGCTCTAGTTGTAAGAATTCACTTTAGAATGTCAGAAATACTAAAGGAGTGAGGAAATAGTATGGTACTTGGAGTTTCTGCCTTAAATATTACTTGTGATTTTTTAAAAAATAGAACTGGAGGGGCTAGGGAGATAGTTCAGTAGAATAAACCCCTGCCTGGCAAGTGGAGGGTCCTGAGTTCAGTCCCCTTTACCACAAGCAAGCGGGCAGGCAGGCAGGCAGACAGGAAGGAAAACCAAAAAGGAAAGAACTGGAGGGCTGGCAAGATAGCTCAGCAGACTAAATACCTGCCCTGGCAAGCACAGCGACCAGGCTCAATCCTAAGAACTGCGTGCTGCGCTGACCCCACCTCCGGGTGCACTGAGCTGCCACCGAGACCAGGCATAGTGGCGCACACCTGTAATCCCAGCATTGGCGAGCTGTGTAGTGAGACTCTGTACCAAATACATAAAAACAATAAAATAGAACTGGAATTGGGTGCCCTATAAAACTTTACAGTTTGCACTATAGGTTGAGATTTCTATCATTTGAATATTTTAGGAAGTATTTTATGTGATTAATATGATTAACATAAGATGAATATGGATAGTAGCCAACCACAATATAATTTGTCAGCCAAACAAAAGTTACATATTTATATATGAATAAGTTAATGTTGTTATCAACATGTTCTTATTGCTTAATAACAAAAATTATACTTAATTATAAACATAGTATTTAATGACAGACACAACTTTCTGATTACAATAATGCCTCATAAGTCCTTTTTAAAATGTTATATTGTTCCCACCAAAGCTTCACTATTCCTGAGGACATATTTTACCTTTATTTTTCTGTATTTTGTTAAGCTACCTCAAAATTTATTTATTTTTTTGCTACCTTAAAATTTAAAGAAGTAGTTACTGTAGCAGAAAAGCCTGCGGTGTAAATGTGTCATTAGTGCCCGCCCCGAATGCGCTTCTGTCTTCATGCCCCTTGCACCCGCCTCACTGCTTCTCAAGGCTTTGTGTCCTCTCCAGAAAGCGTCTCCTGTCTCCCATTTGTGCACCCTTCACACATCTCCTCAAGTCTTGTTAGCATTGGAATGAATCAGTGTTCACTCCTCAATCAAAATCATTTTGAAGTTTTTCATCCTTAATACTTTGGTTGGTCTTGTTTCTATTCCAGAGCATAATCAATAGTTCAGTTACTCCGGCAGGGCCCTTCGTCACCTTGTGTTAGGCAGTGCATTTTACTTTTTTATTTTTTATTTTTAATGTATTTAGTACAGGGTACATGCCACCATGCCCAGACTCAGTGCGCCTCAGGGGCGGGGCCAGCACGGCACCCTAGGGATCGGACCCCGGTCCCTACTTCTGCCTAAGCAGGCACTTCAATCCAGTGAGCTATCTGGCCAGCCCTAGGCAGTGCATTTTATTCCACTATAATTTTGCACCTCACTGCTATATGGAAACAATATAAAATAGATAAATGAAAAACAGAAAAAAGCACAACTGCCCCTTTATATCCGGGTTTCAGTCCACGTCACTTAAGTCGGTAATGGACATCAGGCAGCAGTGCACCATGAGAGCTGTTGCAACGACCTGATCCGTTACTGCTCATATCAGGCTGGGCCAAGGCCAGGTCTGGGACGCAGTCGTAGCCGTGCAGCGTGAGCACACTGCCAGGTTTCAGAACCTTCCTTTTCTCACAGACATTTCATGGAGATGAGAAGGTTTGGGGATGGGGTGGATAGAATGGAATGGAGGAAAAGGGAAAGTAAAA